TTATTTTTTGTAGTGAGAATGTTAATAAGCTAACTTTTAGCAATTCTGAAATATGTAATGCATTAACTGTTGTCACCATGCATGCAACAGGCCACTGAAAGTTGCTCCTCCGGCATAACTGAAGCTGGGTGCCCTTTCTCGTCCCTCCCCACCCTCCCAGCCTCGGTGCCACCATTCTGCTCCACATTCCTGCACGAGACTCTTGAAGCCCACGCTAAGCAAGACCACACAGCACAGGCTTCATGGCCTCAGCAGCCTCTGCTGAACACAAACTCTCCGAAGACTCCAGTTAGGAGTTGATGGAGAGTGAGCTGCATGACGTCACAGGACCTCTTCAACCTTATACCAGAGTAGACAGGGCAGGTGGCACCCACCCACCCAGATGAGGAAACTGAGAGGCTTGGGCCTGCTGGTGTATGGCTATAATCCCAGAACTCAGGAGGCTGAGGCAGGAGGGTCACTGCAAGTTCAAGGCTGGCCTGAGCTATATAACGAGACCCTGACTCAGAAAAAAATAAAAAACAGATAAGGAGACTGAGGTACAGAAAAGCTGCAAGGAAGGCAACAGTCATACCCTCTGTAGCAAGACATCCTCCAGCCCTGCACCCAGGCTGCCTTCCTCACCACCCTTAGGAGGTAACAGACCCAAGGCCCCTGGGCCCCAACACTTCCTTTCTCTGGGTATGAAGGAACTGTGTCCTCTCCACAGTTCACACTGTGAGGCAGCAGGGTGGTAGAGTGACAGGTAGAGGGGACCAGGGGCCAGGAGAGTGACCCCTTACCTGCAGAGCAGGAGAGACAACCCCTCCAACTTGCAGAGCCCCAGTCTGCTGTGCAGCTGAATCAGGGGTCTGTTCCTCACACCCACAGTCCTCAGGTGCGTGGGGTGCATGGCTCCCTGTCTGCCTGGACAGATGTACCTGAGCTCATCAGCAGGATCTCCATGTGGCCTCTTCCCCACAGGTCGTCTGGGTGGATTACCAGATCATTTCTGTGTTTCACTGGGGCAAAGCCTGACCTTACTCCTCTCAGGAGAATTTCTTGGGGTTTGCCTTCTTAAAATATAACACACAAGTCTGGTTTGCCCCACCCCAAACTCTTACTGTACTCAGAATCTGCCTGATCCAGTTGTTTGCAGTTACACAGCCTTCTCTGTCCCCACCTCCGAAGCAACCATGTCTCCCTAGTGATGAGTGTCAGCAGCTCCAGGGCAGTGAGCATGCTTTCCATGACAAGTCTGTGGGTGACAGAGTAAAGCAGGAAACACAAGAAACCCAGAAACACAAGGAACATAACTGCTGAGCTGCCAAGATTGTATCTTGAAGCCCTCAGGCTTTATTACATCCTGAGATCACAGAAGCCCAGAACTGAAAAGGACTTTGTTGTGTAGTCTCACGCCCCCATCTGGACAAGAACTCCCTCCAGAATGCCGCAGAGGCAAGCAGTCTGCTTTCACCACCCATGCCCTTTTATGAAAAACACACACTGTCAAGAGGGCCATCATCAGAGTCCAGTGTGGAGACAGAGCATGCGTTGTGCTCTCCACTGGTAAACTGAAGTCTCAGGTGCCTTTCAGCGAGATCTCCACATGGTCTGCCCAGCCTGTTCACTTGCTTTATAATCTTTTGAAGGGGTCCTAGGGATGGAACCCAGGGCCTCACACATGCTAGTCAATACTATGCCACCAAATACATCCCTAGCCATTGCTCTGTAATGTTCTTTTTGTTGGGTGGGGGGGGATTGAATCCACAGTCTTCACACTGAGCCATGTCCCCAGTCTTTTTTCTGTTCTTTTCTCCCTTTCTTCTCTTTTTCCTTTCTTTCTCTGAGACAGAGTCTCACTAAGTCACTAGTTGGCCGAGCTGGGCTCAAACTTGTGATCCTACTGCCTCAGGCTTCCAGAGTGCTAGGATATCAGTCATGCACCCACACCCTCAGATCATTACTTTGGAATCTTAAGCAAGTTATGTCACTTCATCAAATCTCAAGTTGTTCATTTGTACATGGATAACAATACCAACTTCACGCACTGTTGTGCAGAGTAAACAAGTTAAGTGCATGTGAACACATCTGGCCAACAAGCGCTCAGTAGACACAAGCTGGTGTGAAGGAGGGAGTTACAGCAGATGCTGGCCTGGCCAAAGTAAGGCCCAAACTCCACAGGGCAGTGTGATGGGGACAAACGTGGAGCAGAGCATTGAGGATGGAACATCAGGATTCAGAGAAGAGTGGAGAGTGCTTGGGGAGGACTTTTGGGAAGGAAAATGGAGTCTCTGGCTAGACTCCAAAGCATAAATTGAAACATTAGCAAGTGTGGAGGGGAGAGGGCCAGGTGGACCACCTAGCAGGATCCGCAATGTGACTCGAAGGTAACCGGGAGTCCCTTGGGGTTTGTGAGAAGTAAAGCAATAGGATCTCAGCAGCAGATCCTACAAAAGAGAGTTCTGCTGCCTTGTGACATTAGCCTGGAAACTAAAGTGTAGACCAGGAAACAGCTACTGGGTCAGTGGTGACGTCTGGGACTTTTGAGTTGTATTATTTTTTTATGGTTTTTAAAAATCTCATTCTATCCAGCCGTCATTGGGTTTGCTAGCCTATGAAATTGCCATCCCTACTATTCTACCAGATAACCAACCTTCATTCCTCATTCATTCATTACTCATGAATGCATCTCGCACCAAACAGTAACAACCCCTGACTTGACAATACTCTGGAAGCGTTTGGAAATGAGTAAGACATAGCCACTGCTTTTAAAGGGTTTACAGATTTCTGGAATAAATAGATCAAAAAAATAACTTTTATACTCAACAGACTCTAAGTACCACAGAAAGGAGTGAACAAAATTCTGTGCCAGGGGTTGAAAACAGGGCAAATCAGGCTGCATTTGGCCAGCAAATGTTTTGTTTGGCCCACATGGTGTTTTACTTTATTTCTTCCATTTGGGTGCTAACATTTAAAAATTAGGACATTTCACATTAAAAACCCGGATTCCTAGCTTCTGGTAGAAACAGGAAGATCCAGGCACATGAGGCCAAATTCTTGCATGGTGGTGCTTGGCAGGAGGCAGCAGCAGCTGCTCTTCAGGCAGAGCAGGAGTGCTCCAGTTTGCCTCAGTCTTTGCCACTCCTACTGCTCTATGAAGCCACTTACTACAAGCTTGTCCTCTGGATACAACCACAGAGTGAAAGTGAAAAGAACTTCCACTAAAAAGAACTATTCAATCTCTATTTGCAGAGATGAGGGCTGGAAAGTGGCTCAGTGCACTTGCCTAGGATCCTCAAAGCCCTGGGGCTAGCACTGCAAAAAAAAAAAAATCTTATTTAAAATAAGAAATTTAAGTAGAAATTAAAGATATACCTATAAGGTGACATTTCATGTAGGATACAGAAGGATATTCCTAGAGAAAAGAGAATTCCTTGTGGAAGTGAATCCCACACCAAAGGTACTAGGGACTGAGCCTAGGGCCTTTGCACTGAGCCACCTCCCAATCCTTTTTTATTTTTGAGACAGGGTCTCAATAATCTGTCCCACTCCTACAGCCATTTGTTTGCACCTGTGCGACACAGGGGCAGTGGAGGATTTAACATAGTGGCTGACAGCACTGGCTCTGGGGTGAGGAAGACCTCAACTTGAAAGATGGCTCCACCACTTTCTGTGTGACTGTGGCATACTATGTACCCTCTCTGTGTCTCAGCTCCCTCTTCTGTAAAATAGAGGTAACTGCAGCACCTTAGAGGGCTGCTGTAAGAGACAGTGAGATAAAAGCATACCGGAGTTCTCAGCCAGGGCTGGGCACACACCATTAGCTATTCCCAGAGCACAGCTCTGTCCAGAGGGAGCCTTAAAGGGTGTTTAGGGTTTGAATGTGAGATCGGGGAACAAGGCAGGCTTTAAAAAGAAAGAGTGGGAATGGCAAGTATCCTGGCCTGATGGCTAAAGCAGACTTCACGATGAAGCTGGAAAGATCACCTAGGAAGCTTCTGAAAGTGAGAAAAATCCAGTAAGCCAGCATTTTCTCAAATGCACTGCTGCACGATGGACTCGGGTGATAAAAATGGAATAGGACATTAAATAACATTAAATAATCAGGTGAGAAAATCATTTTCTTTTGATTCTTTATCAAACTTTTTAATTAACAGAAAATCTTGGCTTGATGCCTACCATAAGTATCTGTCTGACCATGCTTGGGAATCTCCGGGTTTAGAGATGTAAAAGCTCCCTAACAATAGTATCTAACTACAACTTAGTGACAACGTTTTCTTCCTCCCTGCTTTAAGTTTTACAGTTATTTTACACTTACAGCAAACGATATTGATGTTCCATACTTGTAGTTAAGTTTCCGTGCAAAAAGAAAAAATCGTTATTTATTCAAGCGAAAATAAGTGAGACAACGTAGAGAACGCCGAATAAACAAGAGTATGGGTGACACGGAGCCAGGCGCCCGAGACGGATTCCGGGCAAGGGCGAGACAAGCCGGGTCGTGATTACGCGTAGCTTCGACTCCGCAGACCCTCGAGGTCTCCTTGCCGCGCTCCCGGCCTCAGCTTCCTCACCTCCGTGGCTCCCAGTTAGGCCTCACCTCCCAGTCGGTCCTCAACCTAGGCTGCAGGCCCGTTGCTACTGGCAACCGAGGGGACTCCCGCCATCCACGACCGGGCTCGGCCTCCCGCTCCCCTCGCTCCTCTGCGGCCGCCCCGTTCCTCACCACTGTTCTGCTTTATCTCTCCACGTCAGCACGGCCCTCATTGCGGCTTCCCTTACGCCTCGGGCTCCTCCTTACCCCCTCAGCAACGGTCGCCACTCCGCAAGCCACTTCGGCTACCAATACTACCGCTGACAACGCACATGCGCAGTGAGCCATGCGCGAGACCTCAGTAGCTCCGAGGGCGCTCGTCTAAAAGGGAGGGTGCACGTAAGGAGCCACCCCGCAGAGAGAACGGAAGCCCAAAAGGCCAAAGTACAACTCCGGCATGCAGGATTGGTCAGGGTGGGCCAGGGCGGGGCTTCTTTTCGACGAAGGACTTGATTGGCGGAGCCAGGGAAATGGCGGCAGTGGCTGAGAGGGTGGCTGGAAGGCAGCTCTGTACTGTGAGGGATCTTCCCAGCGTCTCTGAACTGAAGTTTTACCGTCTTCCTGCTCTCCTTGCCCAAGGCACTCCCCGTCTCGGCCCCCTGCTGCAGCCAGACCCCGCGGGAGGGGACTGCCAGCATGACGAATCCGAGCCCGGGGGACGGCGGAGAAGTCTCCGAGCGCCGAGACCCAGAGCCTCTGCGTGACCTCCGGCAAGTTACCTCTCCTTGACCCTCAGGGTCCCCACCTGGAAGGAGAGAGCAGGGTGGGCGGTGGAGCCGGGGCTTGATTTCCCGGAGCCAGGGTGGCGCTCCGTGCGCGATAGGGGTCCGAAGCCAAAAGCGACCTGGAAACGGGTCCTGCCGCGTACTGGTGTGTGTGTCAAATGAGGGATAATTTACCGCTTATTTTTTCAAAAATTAACCCTCAAAGGGTCGGGGATTTAGCTTAATGGTGCCAATGCCCGCCTCGAAAGCACAAGGTCCTGAGTTCGATCCCCGGTACCAAAAAAAAATTTAATCCTCCAAAAAAAACTACTTTGAACGAAGTATTGAATCCTTTTTACAGATGAAGAAACGCAACTTTGAGAGCTTGAGTAACTTACTTGCTCTTGGACGCCCGATTGGTAAAGGGCACACCTGGGATCTGAGCCTGGTTTATTGACATAAAAAAGGTGCTTTGGTTTCAGCAGGTTCAGTTCTCCTTATCTCTGGGTAAACGATATCATTTCATAAGATTCAAATTACTTAATCCCAGGGCCGGGGATTTAGCTCGGTGGTTCTGCCGCCTGCCTCACAAACGCAAGGTCCCGAGATTGATCCCTGGTACCAAAAAAAAAAAAGAGTCAAATTACTTAATCCCAAATCTCATCAGAAAACCATGATTCTGATTCTTATCAGTCACTGTTTCTTGCTTAGTTTCCCTACTGGTAGAAAAGAAGTTGGGTTAAATGATGTCTCTAGACACATCCACCTGTTAAAATGTATGGCTCTTGATAACAGCCCAGGAAAAAAGAGTATGAGACCAAGATTTGGTAGCGCTGGCTTGTGATATCAGCTCTGCAACCAATTTAACCTTTTTGTCACTCAATCTTCTTAATAAAGAGTAAATCTTATTCTACCTACCTCACAAGGTTATGAGGATCAAGAATGAAGGAGAGGGCCAGGGATTTAGCCCAGTGGTTCAGCTGCCTGCCTCAAAAGCGCAAGGTCCCAAGTTTGATCCCCGGTACCAAAAAAAAAAAAAAGAATTAAGGAGATTTGAAAATTATTGGCAGAAATTATTTGCCTTTGGGATAGTTACAGTATCTGATGAAGGTGATAGACACTGTCCCTCAGAAAAATGTGAAAATCTCACCTTACCTATTTGCAGAAGAGGGAGGTTGACTTACTGATTCCTTAAGCAGGAAACTGAACTGCTGGTTCATAGCCTGAAAAGTACCTCAGATGGCACCAGAAATCTTTACAGTAACCCTATTTGATGATTAACTCAAAAGTTTTTAGCAAGTAGCTTGAGCTTTTTGTTGTACAGAGATTGCCAACACTTTTTAACCCTTGTTAGAGGATAAGGAGCTGTTGGAAAACAGAACAATTCTCTCATAGCACAAGAGACTGGTCCATGCCAGCTTCAGATTTTGATCTGAGTGTTCCATGTGGTTCCTGCACTGTTGTGGATCAAAATTGAATAAGCAAAAGAAAATAAATTTTCAATGAGTTAATCACTGTGCTTTGTTTTCCCAGTGAGGAAGATGGTGCTACAGGTTTGGAAAAAGTGGGAAAAGATGAAAAACAAATGGTGATAAACAGAAGCAGGGAGTGTAATGCCCTGCTACAGAAACCTATTGCTTCTACTCAGTTTGTTGGTGCTGCAGTGACAGAATGTCATAAACCTGTCCTCTGTGGATGGGAAAGAATTGTGAAGCAAAGGTTATCTGGGAAAACAGCAGGAAGATTTTATGTGTACTTTATCAGGTAAGCACACAAGGTGGGAAATAAAGACAGTACAGCCAGATAATTTTGACTAGAGAGGTAGTGGGAACGCGTAGTAGGAATCTTGGCTTATTTCTGTTTTTACTGTAGAACTATTGTGGATTCTTCTGTTCCTTCAGTGTCACTGATTAGGTATATCTAGTGATTCGGGGACAGTTACATCCATACTGTACCTCCTGTGAATGGTGCACTTGCACGTGTTATATTTATGAATTTATACTGTCCTAGAGAAAACTACTTAAAAGTACCCTTTTTTTGTTTGTTTCATTTTTTACTTTCTTATGACAAATGCTTGTGGCAACATTTGGAAATTATTAATTAGAAATCTGAAACTGATCCAATTCTTTTTAAAATCATTGCTACTTACTAGCAATAAGTTTCCTTTAATATCATTTTCTAGCCCACAGGGACTGAAGTTCAGATCCAAGAGTTCACTTGCTAATTATCTTCACAAAAATGGAGACACAGCTCTAGAGCCAGAAGATTTTGACTTTTCTGTACTTTCTAAAAGGAACATCAAGTCAAGATGTAAGGGCTCTAGTGTGGCAGCTCTGACAGCCCAACAGCAAAATGAAAGTAACGTTTCAAACCGGAACCTTCGGACTCGAAGGTGGCAGAAAATGGATGTTTCTCCTCTGCCAAGTAATACTTCAGAGTTGCAAGATGACAGAGGACTATCCAACCTTGATTCCATCAGAATGCTTTTGAAAGAAGAAGAGAATGTTAATGATGTTAGCTCTGGGAAGATTAGGAAGTTCAAAGGAAACGTGACTATTTTGGAAGGAATTCAAATTAAGAAAACCAGAAAACAGTGCAGGAACAGTCTTTCAGATTCTCTCCAAAGTAATACAAAAAAAGAATCTGTGTTTGATAAAGCAGAGGCTGAAAGTATGTCTGTTACACAAGGAAATCAGCTTAATAGAGCTTTCTGCATTTCTGATGCCATAGCAGCCAATGGTACCTTCAGTGTGACTGAGAAGGAAAAGAGCCTCATAAAAGAAAAATCACCAAGCTCAGGATCAGATTTTCATTTTGAACAAATAACATCTGGTACCACAAACAAATCATGTCCAACCACAGAAGCAGAACATGAGAAGTATGAGGAAAGCTTTTTAGAATCAGAGGAAATGAGAACAAAAGTAGAAGATAGAGAAAGAAAGGAACATTTGCATACTGACATTTTACAGTATGGCTCTGAAGTGGACAACAGCTGCTCACAAAACAGGAAAGACTTTACTTCTGAGAAAATATGTCCAGGTATTAGATGCATTGAAGTGCTAGTAAGAAGACCTCAAGCCTATACATGGTTAAATGTGAGAATAGCCTGAAGAAATAGGGCCATGTATCTCATGTAGTCTCCTGGTTGGCCCTAATACCTAGCTGACCTGTGAGCCATCCTGCTGATCATTAGCCCCTTCCTGTGGCAGAGAGGGAATTCACTAGCTACAGCCAAAAAGAGCCTTGTGCCAGTGACAACTCCTTGCTGTCTCTTGGGGACAGTGGCTGCTCTCAGCAGTGCCACCTTGCTTCCCAGCCTCTCTGCAGCAGTAATTTAAGACTTCAAGGAAAGCAGGTGTGGTCGTGCAGCACTGTGGGAATGAGATAGGAGAGTTGCAGGTTCAAGCCCAGCCTAGGTAATTTAGTAATTTGGT